GTCATCACCACCACCGTCATCAACATCACAACCATCGTCACCACCATCATCACCATCATCATCACCATCCAACATCACCATCACCATCACCACCACCACCATCATCATCATCATCACCACCGTCATCAACATCACAACCATCGTCACCACCATCATCACCATCATCATCAACATCCAACATCACCATCACCACCACCATCATCATCATCATCACAATCATCGTCATCAACATCACAATCATCGTCATCATCACCATCATCATCATCACAATCATCGTCATCAACATCACAACCATCGTCACCACCATCATCACCACCACCACCACCATCATCACCATCATCATCATCATCATCACCACCACCACCATCATCGTCACCACCACCACCATGATCATCATCACCACCATAATCATCACCACCATCACCACAACCATCATCACCACCACCACCATCACCACCATCACCACAACCATCATCACCACCACCACCATCACCACCATCATCATCACCACCACCACCATCACCACCATCATCACCATCACCACAACCATCATCACCACCACCACCATCACCACCATCATCATCACCACCATCATCATCATCACCACCACCGTCATCACCACCACCGTCATCAACATCACAACCATCGTCACCACCATCATCATCACCACCATCCAACATCACCATCACCACCATCATCATCATCACCACCATCATCATCATCACCACCACCATCACCACCACCATCATCACCACCACCGTCATCAACATCACAACCATCGTCACCACCATCATCATCATCACCATCCAACATCACCATCACCACCATCATCATCACCATCATCATCACCATCATCATCATCACCACCACCACCGTCATCAACATCACAATCATCGTCATCATCACCATCATCACCGTCATCAACATCACCACCATCACCACCACCATCATCATCACCACCACCGTCATCAACATCACAACCATCGTCACCACCATCATCACCACCACCGTCATCAACATCACAACCATCGTCACCACCATCATCATCACCACCACCCAACATCACCACCATCATCATCACCACCACCACCGTCATCAACATCACAATCATCGTCATCATCACCATCATCACCGTCATCAACATCACCACCATCATCACCACCACCGTCATCAACATCACAACCATCGTCACCACCACCACCGTCATCACCATGTGTCTTTTGTGTTTGAGCTCAGGTCGAACATTTGAATTCACCTGTCCCTGTGTCCAGAAACGGCCCTAGACCTTTGGGGGCCCTAAGCAAAATTTGGTTGGAGGCCCCTTTGATGTATGATTTTTTTCACCCACTCGCTAGCAGTGACTCTAGGGGGCCCTCTGCTGGCCACGGGGCCCTTTGCAATTGCAAGGGTCGCTTAGTGGCTGGGCCGGCTCTGCCTGTGTCTGTGTGTTCGAGCACGGATCGAGCTCGGATTGAACTGCGACATGTTTATTTACCGTTGTCTTATTTGTGTCAACACGTATGAACTGCGACATGTTTATTTACCGGCGTCTTATTTGTTGGAGCTCGGATTGAGCTGCGGCGTTTTGAATAAAACATTTTTCAAATCGACAAACAGCGTCCCCCGTCACGTGATGTCTGGATGGACAAACTGACCCCTCCCACCTGAGCCTCTCCCCCCTTGACGCCGATTGGCTTTCTTCCGCATTGACAATCGATCATGAACACGATAGATCATTAACACAATCGATCATTCATTCCGTCGCGGATTCGTTTCATGTCTTTGCAGCGACACTTGTCACCAACGCCGACGGGTTTATGCGGCGAAGGCCGTGAGATTCTTTCAAAACTAAACTCTAAACTAAATCTTCTTGGTTATTTCGGTAAAGTCACGTAGAAGGGAAATAATGAAATAATAAAAATAAAACATAATAAAATAATTCTCACGACGTTTCGGCCACAACGCAAGCAGCCGTCCTCAGGTGAAGAACAGGTCTGAATGTTTCATTCAGTCGCTGTCTCCCCGACAGACCTGTTCTTCACCTGAGGACGGCTGCTTGCGTTGTGGCCGAAACGTCGTGAGAATTATTTTATTTTGTTTTATTTTTATTATTTCATTATTTCCCTTCTACGTGACTTTACCGAAAGAACCAATATAAACTCAATTTTTTATTTTGATTTAAAGCTTTCGTGACTGCAGGGATTCATCTTCTTGGTTCTTTCGGTAAAGTCACGTAGAAGGGAAATAATAAAACAATAAAAATAAAAAACAAAAACATTTCTCACGACGTTTCGACTGCAACACAAGCAACCAGCACCAGGTGTGAAATCCACAGCAAGAAAATTTGAAAAAAGTGGATTTCACACCTGATGATGATTGCTTGTGTTGCGGTCGAAACGTCGTGAGAATTTTTATTGTTTTATATTTATATTATTTTATTATTTCCCTTCTACGTGACTTTACCGAAAGAACCAAGAATAACTCTACTAACCCCAGAGGGAAAATGGACTGAGTCAATCCCCAATCAGGATTTGAATTTCACGACCTTGAGATTGAGAGCTGATCCCTCTACCGCTGAAGCCTGCATCTGAAGGAAATCACCCATTAATTTCATATGAATGTTCACAAATGAACATAGTAAAAATATCGATTTAAAGCTTTCGTGACTGCAGGGATTCATCTTCTTGGTTCTTTCGGTAAAGTCACGTAGAAGGGAAGTAATAATTTTATTATGTTTTATTTATTTTTATTATTTTATTACTTCCCTTCTACGTGACTTTACCGAAAGAACCAAGAAGAAAAATTATCAGATAGTTTAGTTAAATAGTTTAATTTAATAATTTAATTTACCTTTTTTCAAAGTTTAATATAATATTCTTGTTTCTTTCGGTAAAGTAACGTAGAAGGGAAACAAAATAATAAAAATATAAAACAATGCAATTCCCACGACGTTTCGACTGCAACACAAGCAATCATCACCACCAGGTGTGACATCGCTGTCCGTGGTGCTGACATTGAGATGAAACCGCCACTTTCAAATCGTCCTGCCGTGTGTCTGGCGTCGTGAAAGAGAGAGACGGTGAAAGATGACCACACGATGCCCCCAGATATCTTCCATGGTGGGTTGGCAGTCACCCTGACAGGCAATAACCTCGTTCAGTAATGATACAATAAAACAATGAGAACACTGGTCAACAACAACAACACATACATGTTTTTCTGGCCTGGACTTTTGCAGCTGTTCTAGACTAATTTCAGGGTGCCGATTCCAAATCTGATCTCAGATTTGCTCCATCACATCTCATTTTTATGCTATCGGCATACCCCATTTTCATTGATTTTACCCGAAATTAACTCTGTCACTTATGATTGCAAGTTGTTGCGAGTCGGTGACTGCTTTAGTGTTAAAATATGGTGCTGTATGTTTAGGATAGTGTGTTTATAATATCATTTTATGTAGATATCCACATTATTTAATATTTTTCTTCTGCAGTTTTTATTGAAAATGCAATCATTGATATCTCAAAAACCTGATGTGATAGACAAAAACTGATGCCAGATTTGGAATCAGCACCCCCCCAAAATTACCTTAAACCCGTTGGAATACCTTATGCCAGAACAAGTGTGTTGACCAGTGTAAGTGTAACAACAATGCAATAGCAATGGTCATCATAATGTTACTGATAAGGATACTTTAGTATTATTATGAGGGTTACACCCCCCCCCCCCCCATGGGTTGACCCACGGGTGACCGCCCGATGTGATTTGTAAACACGTTCAACGTCGAGGGGGTTGTCGGTTATTGATCTTCTCCCGCACACAATTCGTTGTGTGTCCTTCTCGGACGTGGTGAAGACGTTTAAAGTTCTCTCTCTGCTCGCCAGAGTCGGCGATTAGAGACTTGAGTCTCTAATCGCGTGGGAGATTATTTTCACCTAAAAAACAAACACATTCTGCTGCGGAGGGGAGCTGCTAGTAACACGTCGGGTTGCTCGCATCAATGGCCTGCTCAGGGTCACCGGCGGCGTGGTGGTATTCCGCAAATATGCCCGACTGTGAGGGCGGGCAAAGCCGGCGTGAGTAGGTTAAACGTTGAGTTTTATATAGGGCACCACTGGGGTGAACCAGCCCCTCCCCACCCAGCCCACCCGACCCCACCCCTCCCACCCTCCGCCACCCAGCCCCTCACCACCCAGCCCCACCCGCTCCCACCCCCCACCCAGCCCACCCACCCCACCCAGCCCCTTCCAACCCTCCCACCCCTCCCGCCCCCCACCCAGCCCCACCCTCCCCACCCTGCCCCTCAAACCCCCCACCCAGCCCTCCCCAGTCCCTCCCCACCCTCCCCACCCAGCCCCTCAAACCCCTCACCCAGCCCCTCCCCACCCTCCTCACCCAGCCCCTCCCCACCATCTCCACCCAGCCCCTCCCCACCCTCCTCACCCAGCCCCTCCCCACCATCTCCACCCAGCCCCTCCCCACCATCTCCACCCAGCCCCTCCCCACCCAGCCCCTCCCCACCCTCCCCACCCAGCCCCTCCCCACCCTCCCCACCCAGCCTTCCCCACCCAGCCCCTCCCCACCCTCCCCACCCACCCCTCTCCACCCAGCCCCTCCCCACCCAGCCCCTCCCCACCCAGCCCCTCCCCACCCTCCCCACCCAGCCCCTCTCCACCCAGCCCCTCCCCACCCAGCCCCTCCCCACCCTCCCCACCCAGCCCCTCCCCACCCTCCCCACCCAGCCCCTCCCCACCCAGCCCCTCCCCACCCAGTCCCTCCCCACCCTCCCCACCCAGCCCCTCCCCACCCAGCCCCTCCCCACCCTCCCCACCCAGCCCCTCCCCACCCAGCCCCACCCAGCCCCTCCCCACCCTCTCCACCCAGCCCTTCCCCACCCAGCCCCACCCAGCCCCTCCCCACCCTCCCCACCCAGCCCCTCCCCACCCAGCCCCTCCCCACCCTCCCCACCCAGCCCCTCCCCACCCAGCCCCACCCAGCCCCTCAAACCCCTCACCCAGCCCCTCCCCTCCCATATGTGGATGCACACGGACACAACAATCTCCTGCGGGCTGGTATGAGCAGGAGGTTGCTAGCAGTAAGAATCGCTGCAATGTGTCTGTGTGTCTGTGCGGGGCTCAAGAGCTTCATAGATCATCGGGTTTCCTGCGGCAATGTTCTCATGGAACTTCCTTCATCAGTTCAGCGGCATTGAGCACTCAGGCTTCGCCTAGAAGTAGGTTAGTAGGCCTCAAGCCTTCGGCCTAGCGGTTTAAACTTTAATTTGTTTATTCACTTAAAGTGTTATTGTTGTTGATTTTGATTTAAATCTTTCGTGACTGCAGAAATTCATATTCTTGGGTTGTTCGGTAAAGTCACGTAGATAGGTTCAAAGAAAATATTATTTTAAATAACACATTTTTTAATAATCTTTTTTGTTATTTTTTAAATAACAAAATTATGTTTTTGTTATTTTGTTTGAAACAAATTTTTCTTTTGTTATTTTAAATAACAAAAAAATGTCTTATTTTAAATAACAATTTTTTTTATTTTCTTTGAAACAAAAATATGTGTTTGTTATTTTGTTTGAAATAAAATTTTATTTTGTTATTATAAATAACTAAAAAAAATGTGTTATTTTAAATAAACAAAATTGTTATCTTTTTTGTTATTTAAAAAATGTGTTATTTTCTTTGAATAAAAAATATGTTTTTGTTATTTGAAATAACAAAAAAAAGTTATTTTATTTGAACCTATCTACGTGAATTTGCAATGACCTCGTTTAATAATGATAATGATCATGACAGATTAAGAACAATAATGGTAACAACAATGATAATATTTACAATAATGAACAATAAGGATAATAACAAGGATAATTAGAACAATGATAATATTCGTGATGATAGCAATTACACGGATAATGATGATAAGGAATAATCGTGATAAAGATCATGAAAACTATGGTATAGATAATACACTTTGGTTTTTTTGGTAAAGTCATGTAGGTAAAACAAAATAAAATAAATGAAAACGAAATTAATAAAATAAATGCAAACAACTAAATTAATTTAGTTAATAATTATAACTAAATTTATTTAGTTTTCTTTTATTAAAACTAAATTAATTAGTTGTTTTCATAAAATAAAATGTTATTTTGTGAAAACAACTAATTTAATTATTTTATAAAATAAACTAATTAATTTAGTTTTCATAAATAAAAGAAATTAATTTAGTTTTTATACAATAAACTAGCAGAAGTACCCGGCGTTGCCCGGGTGAAAAATATATTTCTTAATAACCTTACATATATACACAGATGGGCTGCTACCCCCCCCCCCCCAGCCACGATCTCCTCGGCCGCTGTGCAGTAGTATGTACGGCCTATAGTGTGGTGGGGTGTCGAGGCCTAGTACCGTGCAGAGCCTCCGGCCTCGCCTAAATTGGCCACCCGGCTGAGGCTGGGTACTGGGGCCGTTACCCACCCCCCCCCCCCCCGCGCTACAATAATACTGTCTAATCGCTATAATTTTATTATCTACCGACCCTATAATAGTAATTGCACACATTGGGGTGGGGGGGGGAGTGAAGAGGACGTGAAACTTTGATGAATTTACCTCAGAGTCGCGTGTTAATGCGTGCGCATATTTTTAACGGGAATTAAAAATGGCGTCCACCCTGCAGCGAATGCGTCGCTACCCGTTGCCAGGGGCAACCGCCGTGGAAAACCAAACGGACCAATCGTGTCTCGCAAATCCCTCACATTTCGTCCAATGAAACTGCGTATGGTCCGGCGACACACAGACAGACACACAGACAGACAGACAGATTTGCAATTTTATATATATAGATGAAAACAACAAAATTAATAAAGTTGGTTACATTTATTTTATTAATTAACTTTTCATTTATTTACTTTAATTAATTGCTTTACCTGCGTGACTTTACCGGAAAAAACCCAAGAGTATGAATCCCTGCAGTCACGAAAGCTTCAAATCTAGGACGTAGATAATCACAACGATACGGACGATTATAAGAACGATGCAGATGATGACAACGATATGGACGATGACGACTGACTCGTATTTTATTCCTTCCACCCTCCCCGGGGCCTTTTGCTGAACCAGAGAATTTTATTTTAAACAAACCGCCCCTTCCCCCCCCCCCAGGGCAGAGAATGCCGTGAATGTTGAAGCGATGGATCTCCCAGAGGACGTGGAGACTCATCGTCATCATAATCACGGTGGTGGCGGCGCTCACAGCCAGCTCCACGTAGACCAGCGGAGCGTTGCCCTGCAAGGGCTTGGTGTGGTGGGGGGGGAGGAGGTGGAGGAGGTGGAGGAGGGACAGCAGCTGGAACGTGTCCCGTGGTGGCATGAGTTGGACAAGGTGCTGGAGTGTGTCCCGTGTGAGGAGTTAGACACCATGGAGTGTGTCCCGTGTGATCAGTTAGACACGCTGGGGGAGTGTGTCCCGTGTGATGAGTTAGACACGCTGGGGGAGTTTGTCCCGTGTGATCAGCTAGACGAGTTGGGGCACGGAGGCTACTGGGAGCTCTCTCCCGTGGAGTCGATTGGAGTCGAGGCTTTGCCGGGTTCCCGCGGAGGGGACCTCTGGGACGTCGCCTCCTCCACCACCGTGACCTCCTCCAGCGTGACCTCCTCCAGCGTGACCTCCTGCAGCATGACCTCTTCCAGCGTGACCTCCTCCAGCGTGACCTCCAGCGTGACCTCCAGCGTGACCTCCAGCATGACCTCCAGCATGACCTCCTCCACCGTGACCTCCACCACCGTGACCTCCTCCAGCGTGACCTCCTCCAGCGTGACCTCCAGCAGCGTGACCTCCTCCAGCGTGACCTCCAGCGTGACCTCCAGCGTGACCTCCTCCAGCGTGACCTCCAGCGTGACCTCCAGCGTGACCTCCTCCAGCATGACCTCCTCCAGCGCCACCTCAACTTCCACGGAGTCCATCGCCGACGCGACCCACGGAGCAGGAGGAGGAGGAGGCTCCACCTCCTGGACAGAGGTGGATCTCCTCATCTTCTCGCTGCTGGGTGACGCCGGCGCTCCGGGCGACGTGGGCGGGGAGGGGTGGGACGCTGGGCGGGGCGCCCTCCCCCCCCACGTATCGGAGGATGAGGTCGGGGTCGGGGTCGGGGTGTGCGGCGCTCCGCCGGTCCGCCCCGGCGCTCCGAGCTCGGAGACTCTCGGCGGCGGCGGCGTCCGTCGGATCGAGCGGAACCCACGCGGCGCGTTCCTTCCCGTCGTCCCGGCGGGGAGCGGCCGCTCGCGATGGGACGGCACGGAGGCTCCCACCGCCTCCTCCTCCCGGCGCCGGCGGCTCTGGGAGGAGTCTGAGCCGCCCAAGGGGATGAACCGGCGAGCCAGGAGCGTCTTCACTCGGTGTATGTGCGGGTGACGGTCGTTTCGATTCAGCCTCAAACGAGTAGCCGGTGTGGGGGCGGTGTGACGGTGTGTAGTAGACCTCGCCGCCAGGGAGACTAAGGCGGTCGGGCGTCGTGCTGGACACACCCAGCCCCTGCTGTGTCGTGCCGCCCGTCATGGGTGCTGCTACTCGCTACTAATAGCACTTGCCCCTACAGTCTGTTAGAGGCTACACGGGGGACCTTTGTCTGTGTGTACTTGCTGCTACTCGCTACTAACAGCACTTGCCCCTACAGTCTGTTAGAGGCTACACGGGGGACCTTTGTCTGTGTAGGTGCTGCTACTCGCTACTAACAGCACTTGCCCCTACAGTCTGTTACAGGCTACACGGGGGACCTTTGTCTGTGTAGGTGCTGCTACTCGCTACTAACAGCACTTGCCCCTGAGTCTGTTAGAGGCTACACGGCGGGGGAAATTTGTCTTTCTTACCCCGTGGCCCCTGCTACTGGACATCTGTGACGCACAAAGAGCTTGACAGCTTCTCGGATTCTCCCTCCTGCTGTTGCTGCTGCTCCTGCTGCTGCTGCTCCTGCTGCTGCTGCTGCTGCTGCAGCTGCTGCTGCTGCTGCAGTATGGCGACTCTGATTGTGAATTGGCGTGGACAATTCACAATCGATTCAACCGATTCCACCGCCCCTCCCCCCTGCGCTCTGACCAACTCTCCTCCGGCGTGACCTCTCTCGCGACGTCCCGGACGGGACGCGACTTTGACGGCCCCAACCTCCGACGGACGGACGGACGGAGCGCAGCTCAGCGCGCCCGCCTGGAGGAGGCCTTCCTGGGCGAGCCTTACCTGGACCCACGTGGACGCCTGCTGCTCGCGTTCGCCATCAACATTCCGCCGCAGAAGGTCAAGGTAACTCTCCCGCCACCGTCACCAACCACGTGGCAGAGGTCGCAACCGGGTACCCGGCTACCCGTACCCTGGTGCGGCCGGGTACGGGTAGGCCGTGAGTCACTGGTGAGTCACCGTTTGTCACTCATTTCCCAACGTCTTGTCTCTTCTCACAATTCAAGTTCCTAGAATCAACCCACCCGCGCCTGCAACATGGCTTCATCCCAGAGGTCGCAACCGGGTACCCGGTACCCGTACCCTACCTGATACCCGGCCGGGTACGGTTAGGGTACGGGTACGGCCGGGTACGGCCGGGTACAGGTACGGGTAAGGAATCAAAACCCGTTTGCGACCTCTGCCACGTGGTGGTAACCTCAACGCCAGGGTGGTAGGAGCAGAAGTAGGTGTTGGCTTTAGTGACCGATCTTAGCGGATACGGGGTCGTGTCAGGGTGTTAGACCATCGCTACGGATCTTAGCAGATATGGGGTCGTGTCAGGGCGTTAGACCATCGCTACCGATCTTAGCGGATACGGGGTCGTGTCAGGGTGTTAGACCATCGCTACCGATCTTAGCGGATACGGGGTCGTGTCAGGGTGTTAGACCATCGCTACGGATCTTAGCGGATACGGGGTCGTGTCAGGGTGTTAGACCATCGCTACCGATCTTAGCGGATACGGGGTCGTGTCAGGGCGTTAGACCATCGCTACCGATCTTAGCGGATACAGGGTCGTGTCAGGGCGTTAGACCATCGCTACGATCTTAGCGGATACGGGGTCGTGTCAGGGTGTTAGACCATCGCTACTGATCTTAGCGGATACGGGGGTGGTCCCCGCAGACACCGACACGCGTAGACCCGGCGCTCGCCGCTGGCTGGTTTTGTTGCTGCGCTCCGTGTGGCTCCTCGTCAAGATTTGGTTCCAAAACCGACGAGCCAAGTTGCAACGGCTGAGGCAGGAAGCGGCGTGGACGATGTACGGCGTCGCCACGGATACCGTCGCCACGGACACCGTCGTCACGGACGTCGTCGCCACGGACGTCGTTGCCACGGACTTCGTCGCCATGGACACCGTCGCCACGGACACCGTCGCCACGGACGTCGTCGCCATGGACACCGTCGCCACGGACACCGTCGCCACGGACGTCGTCGCCATGGACACCGTCGCCACGGACGTCGTCGCCACGGACACCGTCGCCACGGACGTCGTCGCCACGGACGTCGTCGTCACGGACACCGTCGCCACGGACGTCGTCGCCACGGATACCGTCGCCACGGACACCATCACCACGGACGCCGTCACCACGTCTACCACCACCACCGTCACCACCACCACGGCCACCACCACCACGGCCACCACCACCACCGTCACCAGCACCACGGCCGCAATGAGACGGTAATTGGCATCGGCTCGCTCTGCAAGTCTGCGGTGAGCGGTGAGTGGTGAGCGGTGAGCGGTGAGCGGTGAGCGGTGAGCGGTGAGTGGTGAGCGGTGAGCGGTGAGCGGTGATTGGTGAGTGGTGAGCGGTGAGCGGTGAGCGGTGAGCGGTGAGCGGTGATTGGTGAGCGGTGAGCGGTGAGCGGAGAGCGGCGAGCGGCGAGCGGCGAGCGGCGAGCGGCGAGCGGCGAGCGGCGAGCGGCGAGCGGCGAGCGGCGAGCGGCGAGCGGCGAGCGGCGAGCGGCGAGCGGCGAGCGGCGAGCGGCGAGCGGCGAGCGGCGAGCGGCGAGCGGCGAGCGGCGAGCGGAGAGCGGAGAGCGGTGAGCGGTGAGCGGTGAGCGGTGAGCGGTGAGCGGTGAGCGGTGAGCGGAGAGCGGAGAGCGGTGAGCGGTGAGCGGTGAGTGGTGAGTGGTGAGCGGTGAGTGGTGAGCGGTGAGTGTCCGCAGAGCGTCCACCTGAGGCGTCATCCATCCTACGTCGATGAACAGACAAGTTGAGCCTCACAGCTCCGACTCGCCTCACACTCACGGGAGCCACGGTGGCTATGAGACGTTGACTTCCTCGCCTCGGATACAGGACGTTGCATAGAGAATCCCCGTGGTCGCGTGGAGTCTCTGTGTATCTCCATGAGTCTCTATGGTACATAGAGATACATAGAGACTCATGGAGACCCGCGGAGACTCGCTTGCTGTGCCGTCGTTAGAGCAACGGCCGAACCTCCGCCTCCACATTTACAGACAGCAGCAGCTGCAGCAGCAGCAGCAGCAGCTGTGGCAGCAGCAGCAGCTGTGGCAGCAGCAGCAGCAGGAGCTGCAGCAGCTGCAGCAGCAGCAGCTGCAGCAGCAGCAGGAGCTGCAGCAGCAGCGGCAGCAGCAGGAGCTGGTGGTGGTGGTGGAACGCGAGATCCCCGCGCGCTCCGCCAACCCCTACGTGGGAAGCAGCACCGGCAAGGTGACCAGCGTACTCACTCCTCCTACTCCTCCAGCTACTCAACCTCCTGCTCCACCCCCTCCACCCCCTCCACCCCCTCCACCCCCTCCACCCCCACCACCCCCACCACCCCCTCCACCCCCACCACCCCCCCCACCCCCCCCACCCCCCCCACCCCCCACCACCCCCACCACCCCCTCCACCCTCTCCTCCCCCTCCACCCCCCCCACCCCCTCCACCCCCACCACCCCCCCCACCCCCACCACCCCCACCACCCCCACCACCCCCACCACCCCCACCACCCCCCACCACCCCATGCTCCCCCCCCCCTCACCCCCACAAGGCGATCCTGCACTGCAGCAGCAACTCAAAGGTAGGAGGTTGAACCGTCGCCGTCACGGTGATGGGGATTATCTGAACGGGACCCGGGCTTCCCCTAGGTCGACTCGGCCTCAAACGAGTGGTTCCCCACCGCCGGTTGGCGGGAACCCGCCGGTCACGACGCTCTCAAGCGCAGACGCTCGCACCGTCCGTGTGGTGGTGGTGGTGGTGGTGACGGTGGTGACGGTGGTGGTGACGGTGGTGACCACAACCGCGGCAGCTTCGGCTGCTGTTTCTACGAGGAGCCCGTCCTGAAACAGGCCCTGGTCTGTAACGACGTTGCCGCACGCGACCGCTCCTTCAACATCGCCGCTGAAGTGAACCACTCGGTGCAGCACGGTGGCCACTACCACCACGGTGGTGGTGGTGGTTGTGGTGGTTGTGGTGGTGGTAGTTGGTATGATGGTTGTGGTGGTAGTTGGTATGATGGAGGTGGTGGTAGTTGGTATGATGGTGGTGGTGGTTGTGGTAGTGGTGGTGGTAGTTGGTATGATGGTGGTGGTGGTTGAGATTGACTTTCCACAGTGATTAATAATAAAACCTGTTACGAGTTCTACCTGCCTCGTGGTTTACAATTGCATTTACGTACGAATAAGGCGCGCAGGTCCGGACAGTAACTACAACGTTTATTCTCATATTTATTTATTATTAAACTCACGATATTTATACTCTTTGGTTCTTTCGGTAAAGTCACGTGGGTAGAAATCAAATCAAATAAATCACGACGTTTCGATTTGCAACACAAGCAATCGTCATCGGGTGGGAAAAGAAATTTGTTTTGCTGAAGTGGGAGGAGGTTATATGGGTGGTGAGAGAAGGGGGGGGGGAGCAAGGGAGGGGTGTAGGGGGGTAGGGGAGCGTTGCGTGGACGCTAGGAGAGTGTGGGTGGGACTGCGGCAACATCGCCAGTGACTAACTAGCTGCCAAAGCAGCAGCAATGCCAAACGCCGGGGATGCAATTGACTTGTCAAATATGACTAGTGGCCGGCAAATATGATGGGACAACCATAAACATCTTCTTGGTTCTTTCGGTAAAGTCACGTAGAAGGGAAGTAATAAAATAATAAAAATAAAACATAAAATAATTCTCACGACGTTTCGGCCACAACGCAAGCAGCCGTCCTCAGGTGAAACCAGGTCTGTCGAGGCGACAGCGTCTGAATGAAACAGCACACGTGCTTGGAGCATATATATAAGCTGGGTTGGAAGGGAGGGGAAAGGGCGTCTTGACAAAATAATTTGCATATCAAGAGGAATTTAGCATATTTATGGGAAATGCAGGTATGTGATTAGTACTACTTATGTCTGTGCATGATGCAGGATTAGCAGCATCACAGGGAGGGGATAGGGGTAGCATTAATAAAGGGAAGAAGTGTTAATAGTATAGTAGCTGCAGTAACTAAAACCACCACGTAAACAACTAAAGTATGGGCATCAGGTACCCGATTGCGACCTCTGGGATGAAGCCATGTTGCAGGCACGGGTGGGTTGATGCTAGGAACTTGAATTGTGAGAAGAGACAAGACGTTGGGAAATGAGTGACAAACGGTGACTTACCAGTGACTCACGGCCTACCCGTACCCGGCCGCACCAGAGTCGCAAATGGGTACACGTACCCGTACCCGGCCGGGTACGGGTAGCCGGGTATCGGGTAGGGTACGGGTATCGGGTATCCGGTTGCGACCTCTGATTAGAACCCTGCTAACAAAAAACATCTGCCGATATATAGCGTCATCGGACATTCCACTACTCCACAACTCTCAATGAGTACTGAGATTGCTGTGAAGATGGTGAAGGAGCACCTGTGATTTGAGCAGTGTGCTCATGGTCAGCTCTGGTTTGGTGGCAGAGGCCTCACTCTAAATCCATTGGCGTTAGAATTTGTCTTTAAACCGGCTGTGCTCTATGCGAACGACAATAACATTCAGATATTCTCAGCCGCAACTACACATTCTCTTCTCTCTGCTTGCGAAAGGTGAACTCCCCCCCCCCCCCCCCCCCCCTTTATCGGAACACATGGGCTGGCAAACAACATCCAGGCTGTCCTGCCAATGATCCATCCTAGGTTTCTTCAGACTGTGGAGCAGCTCAAAGATCCTTGAGAGATCTGTGCAATTCAAGGTGGGGGGTGGGAGGAGGGGGCTCATCTGCCAGCAATGTGAGTTGGCGCATCTGCCAGTGAGCTCAACCATGTTAACCCATAACACCGGGGGGTGTTCCGTAACCAGAGGTCGCAACCGGGTACCCGATACCCGTACCCTACCCGATACCCGGCTGGGTACGGGTACCCGTTTGCGACCCTGGTGCGGCCGGGTACGGGTAGGCCGTGAGTCACCGGTGAGTCACCGTTTGTCACTCATTTTGGGTAGGGTACGGGTAGGGAACGGGTACCCATTTGCGACCCTGGTGCGGCCGGGTACGGGTACGAGGGGTAAGAAATCAAAACCCGTTTGCGAGCTCTGTCCGTAACCTTCTCTTAGCAAGCCTTCACACCACCTAGCTGTGGTAAAATCACCGCCAAGTACCAAAGAACGGGGAGCGGAGGTGGAGGAGGTGGTGGTGAGGTTTGTGGTGGTGATGGTGGTGGTGGTGAGGGTGATGGTTGTGGTGGTGGTGATGGTGGTGGTGATGGTGGTGGTGATGATGATGATGGTGGTGAGGGTTGTGGTGGTGGTGGTGGTGATGGTGGTGGTGATGAGGGTGGTGGTGATGATGGTGATGATGGTGGTGATGATGGTGATGATGGTGGTGATGATGGTGGTGATGATGGTGATGATGGTGGTGATGGTGGTGATGATGGTGGTGATGATGGTGATGATGGTGGTGATGATGATGGTGATGATGATGGTGGTGAGGGTGGTGGTGATGGTGATGGTGGTGATGATGATGGTGATGATGATGGTGGTGATGGTGGTGATGATGATGATGGTGGTGATGATGATGGTGGTGATGATGGTGGTGATGATGGTGGTGGTGATGGTGGTGATGATGGTGGTGATGGTGATGATGGTGGTGATGGTGATGATGATGGTGGTGAGGGTGGCGGTGATGGTGGTGGTGATGATGGTGGTGATGGTGGTGATGATGGTGGTGGTGATGGTGATGGTGGTGATGGTGATGATGGTGGTGGTGATGATGGTGGTGGTGATGATGGTGGTGGTGATGGTGATGATGGTGGTGGTGAGGGTTGTGGTGTTGGTGGTGGTGATGGTTGTGGTGGTGAGGGTGGTGATGGTGATGATGGTGGTGGAAAGACAGCATCTGACAGACATGTTCTTCACCTGAGGACGGCTGCTTGCGTTGTGGCCGAAACGTCGTGAGAATTATTTCATTATGTTTTATTTTTATTATTTTATTATTTCCCTTCTACGTGACTTTACCGAAAGAACCAAGAAGATGAATCCCTGCAGTCACGAAAGCTTTACATCGAAATTTAGACCCGACATAGGTTTGATATCAAGTCAATGCCAGCAGGTATCTGCTGTGACCTCTACTCGGTTGATTCAGAACTAACCGTACTACCCGGGTTCGCCCAGGACTCGGATTCACCACACCCGGCCGCCTTTGTCTCCCCAGTGGCGATGTTCACACCACAACAGTTACTCATTTGAGGCTGAGTCGACCTAGGGGAGGCCCGGGAGCGGTGAGCGCGTCGGCGTTACGAACCCGCTCCACTCGCAGTTCCATTCCCGCCACCCACACCAGCGACGATTCTCTGAACCGGTCCCGGGCCTCCCCTAGGTCGACTGGGCCTCGAATGAGTACCTGGTGCGGTGCGTAAACATCGCCAACTGGGGAGACAAAGGCGGTCGGGTGTGGTGCTGGCCACCCACCCCCTCGTGTGCCGTGCCGGCCTTCATAGGTGCTGCTACTCGCTAACAGCACTTGCCCCAACAGCCTGTCAAGGCTACCACCAGCAACAACAACAACAACAGCAGCCTCGGCTCTCAGCAGCAGCAGCAGCAGGAGCCGCGGTGTCGACTTCTTCGTGTAATGGCGGCGTGCAGACGTCGTGAGAGGCGGCTTCGCGGTTGTTGTTGTTGTTGGTGGTGGTGGTGTTGTTGTTGTTGGTGGTGGTGGTGTTGTTGTTGGTGGTGGTGACGAATCTCCACCCACTCACTCACCCCAGCCCCGCCCCTCTCCCGCCCCTCCCCCCACCCACTGCCCCCCCGCCCCCACCTCACCCCCCACACCTGTTAGCCCCGCCCCGTCACCCCCCCACATCACCCACCCCCCACACCTCTTAGCCCCGCCCCGTCACCCCCCTCCCCTCCCCCCCACATCTCCCCCCCACATCTCCCCCCAGCCCCCACCTCACCCCCCCCCACACCTGTTAGCCCCGCCCCCTTCCCCCCCACATCTGCCCCCCAGCCCCCACCTCACACCCCGCGGGGTATAAATAGCGAGACGCGGCACGAGGCGGCCCTGCAGGTTCATCTCCCGCAGGAGGAGGCGGCAGCAGCAGGAGGAGGCGGCAGCAGCAGCAGGAGGCGGCAGCAGCAGGAGGAGGCGGCAGCAGCAGGAGGAGGCGGCAGCAGCAGGAGGAGGAGGCAGCAGCAGCAGCAGGAGGCAGCAGCAGCAGGAGGAGGCAGCAGCAGCAGGAGGAGGCAGCAGCAGGAGGAGGAGGAGGCAGCAGGAGGAGGAGGAGGCAGCAGGAGGAGGAGGAGGCAGCAGGAGGAGGAGGAGGCAGCAGGAGGAGGAGGCAGCAGCAGCAGGAGGCAGCAGCAGCAGGAGGCAGCAGCAGCAGCAGGCAGCAGCAGCAGCAGGCAGCAGCAGCAGCAGGAGGAGGAGTGTGGAGAGCCGCCATCATCGCCACGTCCGCCGTGTCGTTCAGAGGAGGGAGGAGGAGGAGACTGTGATGGTGGTGATGGTGATGATGGTGGTGGTGGTGATGGTGATCATGATGATGGCGCCTCGGGGGTTGTTGTTCCCGTCCGGCATCTGTGTCGCCTGTTCTCTCGCTCTCACCGCCTGCGCCCACAGCACCGCGGCCACAGGTGAGAGGGGGGGGGGCGGGGAGGGTGAGGGGGGGCGAGAGGGGGGGGAGGGGAGGGAGGGAGGGGGGAGGGGGTGAGAGGGGGGGAGGGTGGGCGAGAGGGGGGGGGGGTGAGAGGGGGAGGTGGGAGGGAGGGGGGAGGTGGGAGGGAGGGGAGGGTGGGCGAGAGGGGGGGGGCGAGAGGGGGGGGGGCGAGAGGGGGGGGGGCGAGAGGGGGGGGGCGAGAGGGGGGGGGGCGAGAGGGGGGGGGCGAGAGGGGAGGGGCGAGAGGGGAGGGGAGGGGAGGTGGGAGGGAGGGAAGGGTGGGCGAGAGGGGTGAGGGGGGGCGAGAGGGGTGAGGGGGGGCGAGAGGGGGGAGGGGGGGCGAGAGGGGGGAGGGGGGGGGCGAAAGGGGGGAGGGGGGGCGAGAGGGGGGAGGGGGGGCGAGAGGGGGGGGAGGGGAGGGAGGGAGGGGGGAGGGGGTGAGAGGGGGGGAGGGTGGGCGAGAGGGGGGGGGGTGAGAGGGGGAGGTGGGAGGGAGGGGGGAGGTGGGAGGGAGGGGAGGGTGGGCGAGAGGGGGGGGGCGAGAGGGGGGGGGCGAGAGGGGGGGGGCGAGAGGGGGGGGGGCGAGAGGGGGGGGGCGAGAGGGGGGGGGCGAGAGGGGGGGGGCGAGAGGGG